ATCTTTTAGGTTTCCTTTGTTGTTCTTCTTACACTCTGAGCATAAGTCTCTTCTTAGTCAATGTTTGACTCTCCACCTTGTCCCCCTCCCTCATTCTGAGACTTTCATTTGTGGAAGAGTACATACCCATATAAAGTGGGGGAGAGTAGTGCCCCCACCTTTGAAACTTGGTCAATATATATATCTAATGTATTCTAAATATTAAGTTAATATTCCGTTAGACAAATAATTTCTAATGTTTTAAATAAATGTAGGCATTAATATAAAATATTCAATATTTATATAAAATATAAAATACTTATTTAATTTTGAGATACAAGGCCTCATATATCCCAGACTGGTCTCAACTCTCCATGTAGCCCTGGATGACCTTGTATTCCTCCTGATTCTTCTGCCTCCACCTCACAGGTGCTGCCATTAAAGGTATGCACCACCGCTCCTAGCTGGGTGTGAAACCCAGGACTTCCACAATGCTACGCAAACATTCTACCAGCTAAGGTACAAGCTCAGCTCCTGAATTTTGAAGCTCCAGATATATCAGTAAGTGCGTGTAGAAACCTGTGCTCTAAAATACTGTCAGTTCTATAGCAGTTAACAGCAGCTCCACATTATCCATATTCAGTGAGTACTCAAACTTCCAGCTACCTTTCGGTGTGTGTGTGAGTGGAGGCCCCAGGTTAACACTGGGTGTTTTTCTCAGTCACATTCCACATTTTTTTCCAGACAGTCTCTGAACCTAGAGCTTACTGATTCAGCTATACTGTCTGGCCAATAATCTCCAGGGTTCCTCTTTTCTGATTCTCACACTGGAATTATAGGTGCCTGCTGTTGTACGCTGCATTATTTAAAATCTGGGTGTGGGAGTTCAAACTCAGGTTCTCATGTTTACGTGGCCAGCCTGCTATCCTCTCCCAACTGAGCCAGCTCCCCAGGTCTTCCCTTTGGTTATGAACTGTGCTTGCTTGGGTCCATATCCATCAAAATACCATGTGTCTCTAAGTCTTCTTGAAATTGGTTGATTTTTGTCTCTGTCAAACTTCTCATGGACTGTATTTGTATCCCTAGGTTGTATCCTTTGGTATGTGTTTCATGTTGCTTGACTATAATGTCTGGTTCTTTTTTTTTTTTTTTTTTTGGTGGGGGTGGGGTTCAAGACAGGGTTTCTCAGTAGCTATGGAACCTGTCCTGGAACTCGCTCTGTAGACCAGGCTGGCCTTGAACTTACAGAGATCCGCCTGCCTCTGCCTCCTGAATGCTGGAGCCACCACCACCCGGCATATGGTTTTATTTTTAAGATTATGTGATGTGGGATTCCCCTCTGTATGCTGTGAATATCATTGGTTAATAAAGAATCTGTCTTGAGCCTATAGCAGAGAGCATGGCAGAACAGAGCTAGGCAGGAGGTTGGGAGTTCTGAACTGAAAGCTGGGAGAAGGAAAGAGGGAGGAATCAAGCAGAAGCCATGTAGCCCCACCGGAGACAGTCTCTGGAACTTTGCCAGTCAGCCACAGCCACGTGGCGATACATAGATTAATGGAGATGGGTTAGTTTAAGATATAAGAGTTAGCCAGAAATACGCTTAAGCTATTGACCAAACAGTATTGCAGATAATATAGTTTCTATGTGGTTATTTAAGGGCTGAGCAGCCGGGAACTAACAAGCAGCCTCCCTACAACAATTTTGTATTTGGCTGGACTTTGGTGGTGCACATCATTAATCCCAGCATTGGGGAGGCACAGTCAGGTGAATCTCTGAGAGTTCAAGGCCAGCCTGGTCTACAGAGAAAGTTCCAGGACAGCCAGGGATACTCAGAGAAACCCTGTCTCAAAGAATAAAAAATAAAATAAAGATTATGTATTTGTATTCGTGTGTATGTGCCACATATATGTGTGTGGGTGCCTCTCAGAGGACAGAAGAAGACATCAGATCTTGGAGCTGGAGTTACAGGTGACTGTGATCCACCTGATGTGAGTGGGTGCTGGGAGCTGAACTCAGCTCCTTAACTATTGTGCCATTTCTCCAGCCCCTTTAGTTTTCATTTTTAATTACACATATTTGCGTGTGTCTTAGTGTGGTTAAGTGCATATGAGTATAAGTGCTGACAGAGGCCAGAAAGCAACAGATCCCCTGGAACTAGTGTTATACGGGTGGTTTTGAGCCATGGAACATGGCTGAATTTGGATCTCCTAAAAGATCAGTGTACTCTTATAACCACTGATCCATCTCTCCAGTCCTAAATGTCTTTTGTTTTTTGAGACAGGGACTCTCTGTGTGTCTGTCTTGGAACTTGGCCTCGAACTCATAGGGATCTGTCTGCCTCTGCCTCTCAAGTGAAATATATATAATTTTTTTAATTATAGGGAGTTTTCCTTGAGCATTTTTAGTATTTGTTCTGTTTCTTTGCTTTAATTTCCTTCTCTGGGGCTCCTGTTGGATCTTGTTTGCTCACTCCAAGATTTATCTTAAAATTAAAAAAAAAATGTTGTATATTGTGTCTGTACTTATTTCCATGTATGTATTCCATGTGTGTATGTGTGTGTGTGTGTGTGCAGGCTTGTGTGTGCAGGCACGTATGTGCCATGGCATATGTGTGGAATTTAGAACAACTTGGGGGAGTGGGTTCTATCTTTGTACTGTAGAGATCAAACTCAGGCCAGCAGGCTTGGTGACAAGCGTTTTTACCTACTGAGTCATCTTGCTGGCATATTTGTCTTTTCTCTTGATCCCTTTTTAGTTCCTTATTATTTTTAAGAGCTTTGGGATACGATTTGTATTCATGAAATTGCCGCCGTTCTGTGTGCAGTTCAGGGTTTTCTGGGACGTCAATAAGATCAGGGCAGCTGTTGGCACCGTGTAGTTTCACTCTTCCACATCCCAGGAAATGCCTCCCTGGCGTCAGACTCTTCACCACCCTGCAGCTCTTCCAGTTGCACTCATTTAGAGGGCACCGTCTCCTTACATTTGTAATGCTCGTCTTTCATGACTAAGAGTATTGATTATCTTCTCATGTGCTCATCAGTCCTTTATATGTGTGTGTGTGCACAGTTGTGTAAGTGTTTTCAAGACAGGGATTCACTGTGTTGTTCAGCCTAACTTAGAAGTCCTGGGCTCGAGTAGTTATCCTACTTCAACTTCCCAAGAGCTGGGACTCTAGGTGTGGATTAGTAGTACACCTAAATATTTGTGTTTGCTTATTTAGTTTTGTGCATGCATGTTTGTATGTGCATGTGTCTATGTGGTTGCATGTGCACACCTGTATGGAGACTCAGAGGTCCTCGCTGGTTCTCTCTTTCTCACTCCCTCCCCAACTCACTCACTCTTGATCGTTCTTTATCTATCTTTATTTTTTTTTCTTTTTCTGATACATATGTGATGCCTGTGTGTGTGTGTTGTATGCACATACATGCACGTGGAGGCCAGAGGAAGACTTCAGGCGTCAAATATCCTGCTCTATTACCCTTCACCTATTCCCTTGAGACAGAGTCTGTACCTGAATCTGGAGTTAGACTGGCAGCCAACAGGCCCACAGCACTGGGGTTACAGGTGTGTGCAGCCATGTCCAGCTTTTCACATGGAGTCTAGGGATTTAAATCTAGGTCCTCATGCCTGCTTAGCAAACATTTGTGCCTGCAGAGCTATCCTCCCGCCTCCACCACCTTAAGCTTCTGAGACAAGGTTTCTTACTGAACCTGGTGCTCACCAGTTTGGCTAGACTGGCCAGCGAGCCTCAGGGGTCCCCGTTCCTGCTTCCCTAGTCCTGGGACCACAGGTGTGTACTGCTGTACCTTGCTGTGTATGCAGGTGCTGGTCTAGCGACGGAACTCGTGCCCTCATGCTTGTGTGAGGAGAGCCTTTCTCGTTTGCAGAGGTCTCGCTATGATTTCTTTTTCCTTTTCAAGTAGGATCTATGCATATTTTCTAGATTCAAGTCCTTTACACATGATTTGCAAATACTTTCACCTAGTCTTTGTCATGTCCTTTGATCTGATTAATACATATTTGAAGCAAGCAAGCAGTTTCCCCCCCTCACTTTAAGTTGGATCTTCTCTGTAGCCTAACTCATTGTGTTGCCCAGACTGGCGTTGATTTTTAGGTAGTCCTCTACTATTGCCTCTGGAGTGCTCTCAGCCAGCCCATCCTGCTTGCTAAAGTTTCACATTTTGATGAGATTCCTCTGATCCTTAACATCAATATAATTATGTCTTCTTTCGAAAAAACTGTGTCTGTTATTGGAGGCCACTTATTCGTTCCTGGTTGCCAGAACTAAAACAATCACTCAGAAACTGTATTAATTAAATCACTGCTTGGCCAATCACTTAAGCATATTGCTAGCTAGCTCTTATATCTAGAATTCACCCATTTTCATTATTTTATATTTTACCATGAGGCTTGTGGCCTACAGGCAAGGTTCCACCTGGCAACTTCATGGTGTCTTGCTGACTCTACCTACTCTCTGAATATATCTTTTCCAGCCCGGCTATATTCTGTTAAGCCATTGGCCAAAAGCAGCTTCTTTATTTATTAACCAATAAAAGCAACACAGATACAGAAGGACTTCCCACACCATGTGTCCATTAGCTTGCATGTGTGGGTTATCTTTCTGCCTTTGGAGAGAGTGATGTCAAGGGTGTGACTGCCTCCAAAGCACAGGCACTATTGAGAAAGCTCATCTTAGTAAAAATGTGCTGGAACAGACCCTAAAACTTTAGACTCCTGATTTTCCCACTGGGGAGCTCAGTGGTCATCTTTCTGAGAACCGGAATGTTATTCCCAAGGTTAAGAACACTTGCGGCTACCGGCAGATTCCTCCAGGATGGTTCTCCCCTGTGGCTAGCACTTGCAGTGGCTGCCCCTGCTTCTGTGCGTGGACCTGCCAGTGCTCTTGAGCTCCGAACTGTGTGAGCACATTGCTGCTTTGTAGATGGTTAAAGGGGTCAGTACCTGGTGTCCCCTGCCAACTGTGGATGTGTGAGTAACATATTCTTGTCTGGCAATTGCAGGTGACAGACTTGACTCAATACCTGGACCCCAGTGGGCTTGGTGTCATCAGTTTTGAAGACTTCTACCAAGGGATTGTGGCTATCAGAAATGGAGGTAGGTCAGTTACCCCTCACTGTACTCCACCACCTTTCTCCTCAGTGTTCTGTAACTATCCATTCTTTCCCAGCCACTGTGTAGGCTAGTCTGAACTCACAGAGATCCTCCTGCCTCTGCTTCTCAGTGCACCATAATACCTGGCTTAGGCCATATCTTCTCGGACTCTCAAAACATTTGGTGTTCAAGATGTTCTCTTCCCTGTTGTTCTTGAAGCCCTGCCCTCCATGATCAACAGGCTCTCAACTGCTTATTTACAGTGCGGAGGGCTACTTTCCTTCCCCAACGTTTCATGAGGAAAAATTACAAAACAAAACTGAAAAAGCGTATAGTTATTATATATTTCCTACCCATTCTGTACGGAGAGCAGCTTGCTGTGTGCGCTGTGTGTGCCCCATTCATCCCTCCATCCATTGTCTACAGTCTATCTTTTCAGTGGGATACATTCAACTCATTATATTGTGCACTTCCCTCTAATGCTCTGGTGTGCATCCTGCTCATCATTTAGAGTTCAGCATTTGTTCAGAGGCTTTAGTTTTAAAGCAAAAAGGTGCCTACTGTGAAATGTGCAAATCTTAAGTGTAGCAGTTTGAGCTGTGACAGATTGCTGAGCTTGGTTATCTCTGACAAGGCTGTCATGGCAAGTTCCTCCTACCTTCTTTTTTCTTAAGATTTATTTTATTTTTATGTGTTTTGCCTGCATGAATATGTGTTTGAGGATGCCAATCCCCTTGAACCGGAGTTACAGACAGTTGTGAGCTGCTATGTGGTTACTGGGAATTGAACCCGGGTCCTCTGAAACAGCAGTCAGTGCTCTTAACCACTGAGCCATCTCTCTGGCTCTCCCACCTTTTTGTCAACCCTATTCTGTTTTCTGTTCTTGTACATTAATTCTTCAGTTGTCACATAAATGTGTCCTGTATATATCTGACTTCTTTCCCTCAGTATGCCTCTCATATCCACCTATGGTTTGCTTGTAGTCATGGCTGTTTTCTGATGTGTGATGGTGGCCTATTGTGATGAGGCATCTAGCTTATCTATTGGGATAAAGTTTGAGTAAAGTTTAGAAGACTGTGTGCAAGTTTTTGTGTAGATACATGTTTTCCTATCTCCGTGTCCTGTGCCTGGGCTCTGGGTGACTGGCCGTGTGCTGGGTGTGTATTCATGTCTTCACAGTGTACATGCCACTTCACACTCCCAGTTAGCCCATCTAGTTTCTGTTTTTGTTCTGTTTAAATATCTATTTATTTATTTATTATGTATACAATATTCTGTCTGTGTGTGTGTCTGCAGGCCAGAAGAGGGCACCAGACCTCATTACAGATGGTTGTGAGCCACCACGTGGTTGCCAGGAATTGAACTCAGGACCTTTGGAAGAGCAGGTGATGCTCTTAACCACTGAGCCATCTCTTCAGCCCCCGCTTCTAGTTTCTGTTCTGCAGCTATGAAAATAGCTTTTCAGCCAGGCAGTGGTAGTGCACACCTTTAATCTCTCGGGAGGCAGAGGCAGATGGATCTCTGTGAATTCAAAGGCCAGCCTGGTCTACAAAATCAGTTCCAGGACAGTCAGGGCTACATAGGGAAACCCTGTTGAGAGAGAGAAAGAGAGATTTTAATTTCTCTCTCACCTGGGCTGGAGAGATGGCTCAGTGGTTAAGAGCACTGACTGCTCTTCCAGAGGATCTGGGTTCAATTCCCAGCACCCACATGGCAGCTCACAACTATCTGAAGATCCAGTTGCAGGGTATCTGACACCTTCACACCAATGCACATAAAATAAAGTTAAATAAACCATAAACATATTTTTTTTAAAAAACTTTCTCTCTCACCTGTCAGAAGTTATGGGGTTGATGGAGCTGGGGTATGTTAGCTGCAGGCTTTTTGCCTCCTTGCACATCTAGTCTGTTTTTTTTTTTTTGGTAAACTTTTTGTTTTAATGGAAATGTAATTACACACATCAAATCTTACTTAGTTTCTAGTCACCAGGTGAGGTCAGGTCTGAAGATACCCTTGGACCTCAGATCTCAGCAGCTGTCTTGTTTGTCATTACCCCAAATTATTACGGACAGTGTCACTTAGGACCGAGTTTCTAAAATATTGAGTCCTCAGATGGTTCTAGAGAAGTTGTGTTACTCTTTGACTGTTTCTCACCATAAGTCTTTTATGGAACCAGCCCCCTAGGGATAATATTGTAAGCCAGCATCAAAGTGAGCCTAGTGGGTGGTGACAAGAAGTCAGATGGATGAGGTACCACCGCTGTCGAGGCGGTAGGCAGAAGCTGAGGCCACCATGCAGGCCAAGCCTTGCTTAGGGAGGAACAGGAGAGAGAAAGGAAGGCATGATTACCAGGTGAGGGACGCCTGGTCCAGGTGAGCAGCAAGCCAGCCTATGTGATGGGGGATGGACCAGGAAGAGAGGCCATAGTGATGGTCTGGTGACTTTCCCAGTGAATAGGACTTGGGGAGAGGTGGACAAGTCAATGAGCAGAGCTGAGCACAGGACCCTTGGTAGGGAGTGAGGTCAGTTCACCGAGGGATGAGATGGAGAACAGCCAGGATAATGCAGAGTCCCCAGACCAAGAGCCCTGTGTGCTCTCTGTTAGCCTGACCTATAAGTGATAGATTGCATGTAGTTAGATTTTCTTTCTTTTTTTAAGATTTAATTTTTTTCAGTGATGTGTGTTTATGAGTATGGGTATATGCCTGTGAGTTCAAGTACCCATGACCAGAAGAGGGCATTAGAACCCCTGGAGTCCCTTCATGATTCTTTATATTTTATTTTTTTTATCCAAATATATTTATATTTTGTCATTGAAAACTTCATATAGTATCTTTGTGTTTTACTTTAATTTCAACATATTGTCCAATTAGCTTTCTTTTTTTAATGCTTTTTTTAATTGATTTTTATTGAGCTCTACATTTTTCTCTGTTCCCCTCCCTGCCCCTTTCCTCACCCCCCTCATGATTTCTTTACCTATCAGTTTTGTTTTGTTTTTTTTAAATCTTGGTCTTTAAATGTTTGTTAAAATCTTGGCATTAAACCAGGAATGGTGATAACTGTCTGTGATCTGAGTGTTTGGGAGGCTGAGATGGGAAGATTGCCAAGAGCTCGAGGCTAGCTACATAGTGATCTGTGTAGTGAGTTCCAGTGGGTTCATAGTGGGTTCCAGTGTGTGACTCTGCCTCAAAGACCCCCCCCATACCCTAAAATTCACAGGAAGTATTTGGGAATGCGATGGGATGGGAAGTGAGACAGCAGTCTTAGAGGCAAGCATGGCTGGGCTCCTTGTCACCATCAGCCTTTCCCATCTAGCCATGGAGATGAGTGATAAGTTCCCACGAGACATGTCACAGCTGTCACTCTGAGTGTTTGTCATGACTGCCCCTTTCCTTAAAGACATGTTAAATAATGTCCCGTTTCCTTTGGAACCACAGAGGTGCAGAATGCTTGGCTGGTCTCTGCTTGTCAGGTTATGAAGTTATCTTTGCACCATCTAACCAGTATTCCTAGTTCTGTCTGCACAGGTGGGAGGGAGGTGTGCTATTTGGACTGTCAGCCCCAGGGTGCTCTCGTACCGTCAGGGTGAATCAGGGGCATTCATTGGATTGTTCAAATTTGAGTAGTTGACTGCACAGACCTCTTCAGGCTGGGAGGCACAGCAGCTGGGCTGTGGGTAGGTGGGAAGAATCTGTCTAACAGGAGATGTCTGTGAGGTGATTCCTCCATGGCTGCTAGTTTGTATGCTCTGCTGGACCTCAATTAATACGAAGTGGTGAACTCTCTGCTGGGGGTGTCCTGTTACCTCTACTTGGGAGGCCTCACCCTCCGTAGACGGTTCTCCCGCTGTCTATGCTCTTCAGGGTCAGCTTCTTTCTGTAGGAGGGCTTGCTAGCTGGTGACCATGTCTCTCTTCTGAGTGCCTGGGTCTTGGTTTAGTGACTGAAGGTGCATGTAGATATTTTTTAATCCCTGGTGACAGCAAACAATTGTCTGAGGATGGTTTATTACTCCAATTCTACCCCCGTATGCCAGATGAGACCCATCCCTAAAATTACTGTGTCCCCTTGCCTTTCCTGGGCTGATTAAAGACACTGTGGTGTCCTGTGTCCTTTCCACAGACGACCTAGGAGGTACTTCTTAGCCTCTGCCTGAGAAGGCAGCAAGCTGGTCTCAATGAAATTGCTAGCTTTCTCTATCTCTTTATAGCCCACTCTCTTCTGCCTTCTGTGAGGAGCCATTTTCTGGCCTGTCTTTTGGTAGGTCCCACCTGTTAGACCCAAGCCCTGTCCACCCTGCTGCTGTTTCTGCCCACTTTTCTGGGGTTCTGTTTTGTTGTTGGTTTGGTTTCCTTTTCATTGTTTGTCTTTTGAGACAGGATCTCACTATATAGCCCTGGCTGGCCTAAAACTTGCTATATGGAGCAGTCTGGCCTTGAATTCAGAGATTCATCTCCTCTGCTTCCTGAGTGCTGGAATTAAATGTGTACACCACCATTCCCAGCCCTAACTAAGTTAGTGGGTTTTTTTTAAATTTATAAAAGTTTATTAATTTATAAAAGTTTCCATTTCCGCCCCTCCTCCCAACACCCTCCCCCCACTCCCTCTCCTCCTCCCTCTCCATCCCTAAGAGCAGTCAGGGTTTCCTGCCCTGTGGGAAGTTCAAGTTCCTCCCCCCTCCCTCCAGGTCCAGGAAGGTGAGCATCCAAACAGACTGGATCCCAAAAATCCAGTATATGCAGAGGAAACAAGTCCCAGTGTCATTGTCAATGGCTTTTCAGAAAGACCCCGTGCCAGCCACATTCAGAGAATCCGGCCACATTCAGAGAATCTGGTTGGATCACGTGCTCATTCAGTCCCAGTCCAACTGGCCTTGGTGAACTCTCATTAGATCAGTCCCCTTGTATCAGTGGGTTAATGCACTCCTCACGGTCCTGCCTTTCTTGTTCATGTTCTCCCTCCTTAGTTAGTGGGTTTTTGAAACTAATTCATGTAGCCCAGATT